GTTGATGCTGAAAGTTGGCCACTTAGAGAACCTTTTTCTCTTTCGTCATTTCCATTAAAAACATAATCTATTTCTTTCCATTAAAAATATAATCTCTTTCTTTTTAACATTCCACGATAAAATGTACTTAAGTGGTCAACCATATATATAGCTTTTCCTGCTGAATCATGGATACTTAAGTGCGCATACAACTTATAATATGATTTTACCTTCACAAAAAAAAACATTCTAAGGTTGGAGAAATTTTGTTTGTAAATTGTATTAAATTAGAAAGCCATTGTTCAAAAAAAAAAATTGTATTAAATTAGTATTTTAGAGCTTAAACTATCTTGGAGCCGTCAAAGAAAACCATATTTTCGCATGTGCAAATAAAGTTGTTGGACTTGCATAGCTCTTCATTTGAAAAGCCTCTAAGCTTTTATATATATATATATAAGCATGGGTTTTTTTTTTTTGAAAATGTAAGCATGGTTTTAGATCTTTAAACATCTATGTAAATTACGCAATGGAATCATAAAGAGTAATAACAAAGCACTAGATTCTAACCCCGTGCATCCGCACGGGGAATTTTTGTTTTTTTGTTTTAATATAATTTGTATTTATTTTTTATTTAAATATAAGTTATCTTTATAATTTATTTATTTTTTCAATGAAGAATATTCATTTTTTAAATATAAAAAAAATAATAAGAATAAGATGTGTTAAGCTTTTCATCATTTTATCACTTATTGGATATTTTGTTATATGTTTACTTTAAATAGTATAGATTTGTATATTAGTAGAATAAAAATATGAGTTAGTTAAATATATTTCGATCTAATGTTAATTATAAATTTTATTATTCTATAATTTTAATTATGTAAATTTAATTATGTGATTTTAATTATGTGAATTTACATTAATAATTTATATATCTATAAATTGGCTAATCTATCCGTTTAGTTGCCTTAAATTATATTTTTAAATTAAAAATATAATTTAAATTTAAAATTTAAAATTAAATTTAACCTATATTAAATTTAAATACATATTGAATATTATTTAATATTTAAAGTTATATTAAAATTATAAAATATCATTCAATATTTTTAATTAGTTATAACATAATTTAATTTAACATTTACACAAATATTAATTAATAATTAATTAATAAAAAATTAAAATTAATATAGTCATCATTTCATTTGTTACTTGCTAGTATTTTATTATAAATAATCTTAAAAAATAATTTAAAAATACATCTTAATTATTATTAAGTAATATACAGTTATATAAAAATTAAATACATATCTATCAATATTTTTAATTAGCTAGTTATAACATAAATATTTTTAATATTAATATAAATGTTAGTTAAGAGCCAATTAATAAAACAAACTTTCCATATTCTTTAAGTGCTTTAAAATTTAATATTAAAATTTATTAATTAAAATTTAAGTGACATGTGTCAACCTCTCAAATGCTGATGTGTCAAGCATGTGTCAAGCATATGAAGAAAGTTGAGCAACTTTTATATATAAGATATGCTTACCTCACGAATCTCTATTATATTATTTAAGTACATATTTAAAAAATAACTTTTATGTTGTAAATTATTATATCAAATTCTATTATAAATAACAAACTAATTAAATAGAAAAAAATATAATTGCCTTTCAAAAAAATTGAAAAAATATAAAAATCATTGTTTGTTATTTAATAGAATATATTTACGATTTAATTTTTGAATTTAAAAATATGATAATTTTTTATATTTTTCGTTTTAAATGATATTATATAGTATAATCCACTAAAAACATGAAAATAAAAGTTTCTTAATTAAATAATATGAAAAGTCAAGATTAAAAGTTATAATATTAAAAATGGTGAAATATGTTTTTACTCTAATTTGCTATTTTTACTTGATTATATACAAAAATAAAATTTTCAGTTATTTTTATCAAAAATTTGACATGACAAAAATGATTTTTTTTTAAACTAAAAAAGTTTATAGTAGAGTGAGAGTCATTAAACGGTGTATATTAGAATTTTTTAAGTTATATTTTAATCTATTACAAACAGTTTAGTCTGTTATGAACATATTATGATTCTAATTTTTAAATATCCACAAAAACTAATTTTGCAATTCAAAATATTAGTTTTTAAAATAAATAGTATATTTAATCTACTAAATATTATAATTTGTCTTTTAAAATTAAATGCAGTTTGTTGTATTTTTATTTGTTATATATCAAACCTAAATTTAAAAAAAAAAAATACTATACTATTTTCATATAAAGTTGAACAAGGTAAAATTGATTTTTAATAGTTCGTAAATAGACCATAAAACTCGGTTATTAAATGTTAACGGTGCAAATTAGAGTTAAAATTATAAATTATAATATTTTGTGTATTAGCCTAAGACCTAAGTAATATTTTACTCTATTGTCAGTTGTCTATGGGTTAAATAAACAGTTTATTCTGTTTTATTCACACTATTTATTATCATTTTAAAATATATTATTAAATTCATTAGCTAATAAAAAAATAATTTTTATTTGATGGATGTAAATTTTTTGTGTGATATCAATATATACATATGATATTAACTAAAATTTTTAAAATAATTATTAAAATAATATTTGAGATATTATAATTCTGTGTATTACGCAGGTTAATTTCTAATATAAAAACATATAAAAACCTTCTACCATGAGTATTAAACTATTTTCTAAGGTTTATACATAAAGGACCATAACATATTTAATAATGATTATTTAGTAAAATATATGGAAATTATGGGAAGTCTTTAAATTAGATCCGTCGAATGTGCACCAACAGTGAGGATGGCAACATCCTGTCGCATAGTATCAACTTGGTCACCTCTCCAAACCAAAGTAAAACTTTCTTTTGGTTAAATGAAGTAAATTTTATATTACAATTCCAAAACAAAAAACTAGTAGACATAAACACCACGTTCTACAAACTCAACGTGGCATTGCAGGGTCCAACAACGTAAACGTTACTTTATATATATAATTTTTAGAAATAGACGACTTTTTTAAATGGAAAAAAAAGCAGCCCCCTTACATTTTTGTGTCTTTTTTACTTCCAACAATCTGAGTTGTTGCCTTTTTCGAACGATAAAATGATTTCGCCTGATTGGATAGTCTGTCTTACATAAAAAAAAAACATGAATCCAACTAATTGTTCGAGATGAGTAAACGATGCGATCTTGCAATTTGTTTGGATGATGGCCCACATTCTCAATTCATTCGTCTAGGTAGATTGTCATGTTTTGCAGGAGAAGACATGGATTAACTAAAACATTGATCCAAAATGAGTGAACGATGCATCTCCTGTACATTGCTCGGACGGTATCCCACAGTGATCAATTCACTTGCCTAGATTGGACGGTTGTGCTTGGTTGAAAACTTATATAAAGTTAGTATAATGTTATATAACTTCGGGTAGCAAAAATTATTATCAAACTATCCGTTACAAAATTGGTTACAAAATGGTTCTCGTAATTTATAGCCAAATTATCTATGCATTAATTTTAGCTAAAATAGTACTACCAATAATCCGTAGTCAATATTAGCTACAGCAGAATAGTGTCGTTTGATCCTTTACATAGTTAGCCACAAAATTGGCAACCATAGTTGTTCTAGCAATGGAGTTTTTTATAGTGAATTTTGGTTTTTACTTTGCCAATATCCTGTAAAGCAGGTTTAATAGAACAACACAAGTTTTAAGTAAAAGAAAAGAAAATAATCATTAGACTACGTAACACAACGTTCTACGACTTTTACATTTTCCCTTTTTTCTGCTTGACCAGTTGCACTCTCTCCTCTTTAAAGCTGTCGAGGTACTTTTTCTGCCACCTTCAACGATCGTCTATGTCTGAGTATTAGTCAAATATGCCTAAAAATTACATTTTGAATTTTTAGACCAACAACGATGTAAATATATTTTATGGTTGTCTTCATTAACAATAGTTAAATGTTTGGAATTAAAAAAAAAAACGAAACCGTCTTATAAGGTTGGTTTGGTAGGTCTAAATACGATAGATGGTTTATATGGCTAGAGCTTGATAGGAACTTGGAAGTAATTGTGTTTGCGAGATTATCATAACTTAAGTACGGTGTAACTCTACGTGACATATTGGTGGTTATTTTCTGGAGAGCTCTAGAGGTTAGTTCTTTGAAAACGAAATGGGAAAACCATCGTAAGAGTTAGAACTAATATACAACATTGCATTATTTTGTCCATTTACTTCACTATACAAGCTTAAGAAGTTGTATTCTTATTTGAGCATTGAAGAGTCATCTAAGTTATGTATGGGTTATCAGTTTCTTATCACCATGGTTGTGAAGGGTGTGTTGGAACGCGATGTGCTTGAACCGTAGATTATATATTTTGTCATCATTTATATATATATGAAGTATGGTTTATATGGGATTTGGTCTAAAATGTAGGACTGTTCAAATTTGGGTACGCTTGTTAATGTTACCAACCATCTGTTTTTTTGTTTTCTTTGTCAAACAGCCTAAAGCCTAAGTGACTATAACGGTTGGACTAACCAACCATCTGTTCAGTTATGGTTTAATTGCCCTTTTGCATATTTAAAAATTTCATAACCTTTCATGTGATTAATTTATAAATTACTAACGAATATTATTAGAAAAATCGTGTGGGTTAATTTTACCTGTGAATATATGTTAAAAAAGGAAATAATTTCTAACGTACAAAGTGAAATAAAGTTAGCCAATTTTAGATCATTATATCCACGCTGTACTATTATGGTTTCTTTGCAATGTTTATTTCTCTCGGTTATTGTTTGATCTATCTAATCTTTTTAATCATTATTTAATTTGTTTCGTCTGATCCGCTGTTTTGCATCTTGCTTGTTGTCACATTCGAACTCGTTAACAAAACCTTTTATATTTCTTCGCTATGTTATGGACCCCACTTTCTGTCAATAAATAACCATCCTTCCAAAGAATTCATACCACCTGAGAAACATAACTAATTAACTATTCAGAAAAAACCAAAAAACACTCACTTTTTTTTTTCTCTCGCAAACACTAAAAACCTCATAGTGTCGACATGGGTTACTGCCAAGACGACCAGCTAGTGAACACGATCTGCGATCTGTACGAAAAGATCTCGAAGCTTGAGTCCCTAAAACCTAGTGAAGATGTCGACACTCTTTTCAAGCAGCTCGTGTCCACATGCATACCACCAAACCATAACATCGACGTCACCAAGATGTCTGAAAGCATCCAAGAAATGAGATCAAGCCTCATCAAACTCTGTGGAGAAGCAGAAGGTCACTTAGAACATCACTTTTCTTCAGTCTTAACCTCTTTTGAAGACAACCCACTTCACCATTTGAACCTTTTCCCTTACTACAACAACTATCTCAAACTTAGCAAGCTCGAATACGATCTCCTCGAACAGAACCTGAACGGATCTGTTCCAAAGACTGTAGCTTTCGTTGGCTCTGGTCCTCTCCCTCTCACCTCCATCGTTCTTGCGTCTTTCCATCTCAAAGACTCAATCTTTCACAACTTTGACGTCGACCCATCAGCGAATTCTGTTGCAGCTCGTCTTGTTTCCTCTGATCCTGATCTCTCTCAACGAATGTTCTTCCACACCGTTGATGTAATGGATGTGACAGAGAGCTTGAAGGGCTTCGACGTTGTGTTCTTGGCTGCTCTTGTCGGTATGGATAAACAGGAGAAGATTAAAGTGATCGAGCATCTTGAGAAACACATGTCTCCTGGTGCTTTGCTCATGTTGAGAAGCGCTCATGGTCCTAGAGCCTTTCTATATCCCATCGTTGAGCCTTGTGATCTCCAAGGTTTCCAAGTGTTATCCGTTTATCACCCCACCGATGAAGTTATCAACTCTGTTGTCGTCTCAAGGAAGCTCGGTGGAGGAGATGGTGTTGTTCATGATGACATGGATCATCAAGATTCTGGTTTCGCTTGCAACTGTTCCAAGATCCATGCGATTATGAACAAGAAGAAGAGCATAATTGAGGAGTTCGCAGGCGCTGCTATTGAAGAACAGCCTACTTAGAAATACTTAGAAAAATGCTGTTTTATTTTTCTTGAAATCTATCTATGATGTTTTTTCTTACTGAGATGTTGCATGTTCTTGATACAGTACTGTTCTTGTCTTTTATCTTTTTCATTGTTCTGTTTCTTAGCATCTGATTTGTGATTTGACAATGACTACTTTTTGTTGGATTCTGTGAAGTCTATTGCAATTTGCAAAGGGTCAATCAAACAGACTCGGTGACAGAACCGATTATTCTTGTCGGTATTAAAACAAAAGAAAAGGTCCCATTACGATAACGATACGATTGGTCGAAATTCTTGCCTCTGATTTGCTTCAAATAGCAGACTTTGTGAGATTATATCCTAAAGTAGAAAGATCCGATTCCATAAGAACATGATTCTTCTTTTCCATCTCATCGTTGGAAATAGAAATCCCATTGTTTCTATTCTAAGTTCCAATTAAACCGGTATCTGTCTGGACCGCAAGTATAATAGACAAATATGCTTAATGGGTATGCAAAATCTTCACCATGTATGCTGCTAAAAGGAGCCATCTCCTAAGTTACTGTTTCAGGCAGTATTTCAGTCTCAGTTTGTCTAATACTTCTGCATATTCCATTGGAGTTGCTTTACTGCAGAAAACATCCTCCCATATCTTCAAAAGCTCTGTTCCCAAAAGAAATTAGTTATAAAAAAACTACATTTCGATGCAAGTCCGTCGGATTATTAATCAATGATATGTGACAATAACTGATAAAGGGAGTGTACCATTTTTCTCGGTTGAAGTAAGGCACATGACGAGCATGTTAAATCTCGGAACCTTTGTTAGGTTCTCAATGTATTTAACAGCCAAATCCATGTCTTCACTGCAGTGTTCGAGAAACCATAAGCACCAGAGTATTTTGTGAACCAAGAATGAGAAATGGTCGATTCTACTCACGTGAAAATCGAGGCTACACATTTGATTATGTCAACCAGCACCGGAGACGTTAAGGCGTTCTTGAAAATCTGAGGTAGAGAGCTCGGAGTCATAACCTGATACATATACAAACCCGATGAGTGGAGCTGTTATTTGAGAATTTATAAACTAGTTGTAGCAGGAAGTGTTTCAAACCTTCAACAATTGCTTTTGTAATGCGCGGTCGCCAGAGAAACTCCGCCAAGTATTTTCAAATTCGTAAGCAGATTTTGGGGCTTTGATGTTTTTAGTAACTTCAGACATTGCAAGTGAAGCTGCACGAGTAGCAAGCTCTTGGACTGATGGCTTGAGTTCCAGCTTTGTAGAGACTTGGTTTACCTGTAAAATTAAAACGGCGACAAGCTTTGTAGCACCAGTCTGGATTTTGTTGTATTACATCAACCTTTGTAACCCAATTAGTACACCAATACTCACCTGTTCAGAAGGCTGAGTAACATTTCCGCCAGAAGACTTTGCTTCCTTTTCATAACTTTGGCTTATAGGTGTCACTTTCTTATTATCTACATTTTCAGTGATAGCTGAAATTTTCTTGGAACCTTCTTTATGTTTCTCCTGAATATGCCACAAAAAGAGTGTTGACAACTTATAGTTAAAGCATTAGGGTTATTTAAAGATATAACTTACTAGTGAAAGTAATTCTACACCGACCTATTAGATGTGCATTTTTGAGCTTAAGACATATCTAACAAAATAACTTCTGTCTATACCTCAGGATCTACGCTTTCAATGAGCTTCTTCCCTGAACTTTCATTGCTACGTGAAACAGGCCGAACCATATCCCCGTTTGTTTTGGCCACTAGGGTCACCGGTTTTTTTGTATCTGTATTTGGGATTTTAGCTTTCTTATCTAACCCAGCTGTTTTCAGCAGTTCTTGTGCAGTGCTTTGCATTGCTCCAGAGGCTTTCTCAATGATTTCCTGCTCAGAATTAAAAAAGTTAACTTTTCGAGAACCATATAAAGCTTTATCTGGCAAGGATACAGCAACGGAGCATATCAAAACATTACTTTCTCGAGCAAAGATTTGATGTCGGCATATTGCTTCTGAAGTTCTTGGCTCTGAGGCTCTAACCTTAAAGCAAACTCGGCATCTGCATTTAATTTGAATCACCTTACATACGAAGCAAAATGTAAGAAAGAAACTGTACGTATCCTAAGATTAGAATGCGAGTGTGAGATACCTTCCATAGCTTCTTTAACCATGCCGAGCGCCTTTCTTGCTGTTGCTCGGCGTGAGTATGCTTTCGTGTATCGATCATCTAGATTCAACGCTTCTGTGCAGTCTATCTCAGCCTCTCGATATCTAATGTAAAAGAAACATTACAAAGTCAGGAAAAACAACTTCAGAGATTACCAAAAGCCAAGCAAGAATATAATGGACTAGCCTTTTGATTTTAAGATAAGCCATTGCCCGATTCGCAAAAGCCACAGCATTTGGCGATAAAGCAATGCTCCGTGAGTAACAATCGATGGCCTCATTGAACTTCTTCTGCTTGAAATATTCATTCCCCTGTAGTATTTCGAAGGGAATACGTTTATGAACACAGGCATTGAGAGTAATATCACATGATCAAGCATAGCTTGACGAGAAAGTACCTGTTCCTTCTCTGAATTAGCATCCAAAGGACTTTCGTCATCAGCGAAACTACTCGACAATCCACTCATCGGACCATACTTTTTAACAAAGTCATACTGCCCTGAACCACTCGGTCTGAATTTCTCACTAGTCTGAAAGTTTTTTGAAACAGGAAATCTCATAAGCCTAAAGGGAATACGAGACTATATCTAAACATTTAAAAACATAGCATAAAGCAAAACATCAAGTTTACACAAATGAGAGTGATTCTCAACACAGAAGAACGAACCGGATTTGACAAATTCTGCTTGATTTTCTTGTCTTTATCCTTCAATGAAAGTTCCCAATCCTGCAAGTCATTCAAAAATCCCTGGAAATCCTGGAAAATTTTGAACCCAAGGATAAACAGTAAACATCTAATTCGTTCATAAACTAAACGTAATCATGACCAATACAGTTTAGGTAATAAAAAAAGAAGAAGAAAAATTAATAACCAAAGTGGAACTAAGATGTACAAATAGTTTCGATTTTTTTCCTTCTCAATCCTCAAGTAAACAGATAATTTAGCGAGCGAGAAAGAGAGAGAGAATCTCCGTTGAATCGAGCAAACATGTGTTACCTGAGTTTGATCGCGGCCGTGTTTGCTCGGTGACCTAGCCATTACTGAGAGATTCTCCGGCGAAAACAGTCGACGAGAAAAGGCGAGACGATTCGGGAAGAAGACTGACAAAGACAGACTACATTTTGAAATATTGTTAAAAAGCAAAATATTGGACTTGGGCTCAATGATATTGGGCTTATTTCGGCTCGGGTCAGACCTTTAACCGGGTTAAATAACCGGGTCGGACCCGATTCAATTTTGTTTCTTGAGGAAAAGGAAATCGCAGAAGCTTAAACAAACCAAAAAACATCAGATCTTGAAGAACCTAAATCGCTCTCGCTTACTACGAATTTTTCGAAGAAGATGACTGTAAGTAGTATCAATCTTGAAATCTTCACTGTTCTTACTGAATATGGTTCTGATTCTTCTGGGTTTGTTTTTTTCTGATTAACGGTGATTTTCTTCGCCGAATTTTGGGTTTTCGTTTAGTTTACTATTCCGATTGATAACGGAGATGCTGTGAAGAACGCAGAGGCTGATTCACAAAGAACACTGTAAAAAACTCTCACTTTCTTCTCGATTCCGAGAAAAATTTGAGATTTTGGCTTTTCAATTTTTAGGGTTTTTATGTAGGATTTTTTTTTGTTAGGTACCCATATGTTACTGGGACTTCAATTGTTGCAATCAAGTACAAAGATGGTGTTTTAATGGCTTCCGATATGGGAGGTATGTTTCAGTTTTGATGATTTCAGCTAAAGTAGTTTTCAGTTTTCACAGGTGCTTGTACTTTACATTTCTGATTAATTTATAGTTAGTAATTAAGATTTATGTAATGTTAGCTTCATTCGTATGTAATACAGCTGCATTTGCTGTATGATTAGTAACTTTTAATACAGTTCTTGACCTGTTACTGTATTTTTCTACTCTGTCGCGAGATTTAGATATGAGGATGTCTGTGTATGAAGTCATTTATTGTTAGCTATCACTATGCCTAGATTGTTAGATTCATGCGCATGGATCCTTGTGTTTTCTGTCTCTTTAGTGACTATTGGGATGGTTAGTATTTATTGTTACAGTTCTTTAGCTGTTACTGTGATATAACGAAACTGAGATGGAACGTTTCTGGTCAGATTTTTGCATCTTTTAGAGGGGTCTGAGATAAGTCAAGAAATTGGATTCCAAGAATATTACGTAGAAAAGGTTTTGAACTGGCTATTAGCCGCCTGATTGATAATAATATGTACCTGTTGCTAAACATCTATGCATGCAACTGCTTTCTTGCTGTCAATGAGCCTGCTTTCTTGTGTCATTAGCTTTTCACATTCTTCTGGCGTTTGTTTGCCTATCGATGTATTTTTCTAGTATATTTTGTTCTGTTACTGCTTCTTATCTTTATTAATTTAAGAATTAGGATGGGCTATGAGTTGAGGCTTCTTTCATCTGATCGAATGTGCAAGTTTGAATGAATCAGAGAATAATATTGAGAAGTAATGAAGCTCCTTTTGTTTTCTGCTTTGGTTTCCTTATTTCCATCTATTGTTAGTTTGGTCAAGAGATAACAACTGAGAACAGACATTAATACCATTGAAATAGTTTGATTTAGAATAGTTTAACACCAACTCACAATATGTAATAAGTATGATTTGTCTTCATGGTTAATGATTTTGATGGTATATCTATCTATCTACCTAATCTCAAAAATAGGTTGGATTGTTTTGTAAGTTCAAAAAGTATGATCCTGGTTTCCTTACAATTTCTGCACCAGAGAGATGATGTTTACTGTGACTTTGACTCACTTTTAAACTTTGTGCGAATCTGCAGGTTCATATGGATCCACCTTAAGATACAAGAACATTGAGAGAATGAAGGCTATTGGCAAGCATTCTCTTCTCGGTGCCAGCGGAGAAATCAGCGACTTTCAGGAAATTCTCCGTTATCTTGATGAGCTCATGTAATAATCCGTTTCACTCAACTTCTACTTTCTTAATCTTTTCTTTTTATCAATTCTCCATGTCTCACGAACACCCTCACTTTTACACAGCCTGAATGATAACATGTGGGATGATGGTAATTCTTTGGGACCAAAAGAGGTTCACAACTATCTGACCCGTGTGATGTATAACCGTCGCAACAAATTTAACCCTCTGTGGAACACTCTTGTCCTTGGAGGCGTCAAAAACGGGGAAAGTTACCTTGGCATGGTACACGTCTCAGACTCTGTTCCGCATATGAAATCTTCTTATGAATGTTACTATTGATTCTGATCTACTTGTTTCTCTCTAGGTGTCAATGATTGGTGTCAGTTTTGAGGACAATCATGTTGCCACCGGATTTGGAAACCACCTCGCCAGGCCAATCCTTCGCGATGAGTGGCATGCGGACCTGAGTTTTGAAGAAGGTGTCAAGCTCCTTGAGAAATGTATGCGTGTGCTTCTTTACCGCGACAGATCTGCTATTAACAAGTTTCAGGTTTGTCATTAATCTCATGAACAAGAATGATCCTCGTTAAGCTTTGTTGAAGCTCCTTCGTTTTGAATGTGATAAAGGAAATGCATTGAAACTTTGTGCAGATAGCGAAGATCACTGAAGAAGGCGTTACAGTCTCTGAGCCATACTCCTTGAAGACGTTTTGGGAATTCAAGGCCTTCAACAACCCTACTGCTGGTGCTGAAGGCTCATGGTAATAAGCTAAGCAAAACCAAAGTCTCGTCTGGAGAGATCTTTCAAGACATCTGTCTTTTTTTATTTTAGTTTTTGTGATGTTGTTAAAGCACTTTGTACTGTAGTGGATTTACTAGTAACCATGGTGGTTTCTTGATGAAATTTAAGTTCAGATCAATGAGAATTTATGGAGTTTTTCTGGTGATGTTTTTGCCGGTTCAGGTAATTTCATGGGACAACATACAAAAATATTTTTTAATATAATTTTTTTTTTAATTAGGATTAAATCTCCTTTGCATAAAACTTGAGTTTGATCCCTCAAGCTTCCACAAACGAGATCGATACTACAACACAGTATACACTTGGCCATTTTCATTTAGTTTTATAGAGATCGATACTACATACCGGCTCACTTAAATCTAGATCAAGATTAACTGAAAAACTTACATGATCAGAAATCATATCCTGCAGGAGAACATTCCGTATAGCAAAAACCATATTAATAGAATAGGAAAAGAAAAAAGGTTAATAAAAACATATCAAATATTTTGAAACAACCGAGATTTTGATAGAGTTCCGAATCACCACAAGAATCCGAAACAAGACCAGACCGCATAAATTAGTATCTCCAAACTCCAAAGTCACTGTAATCCTTCTGTAAGACTAATAACTTAAACATATCAAACTGCTAGTTAGTTATCACAAGAAAACCTAGCATCCACTTTATGAGTACATGTTATGCGAATTAGATTCTTGAAAAAGACGAGGTCAATTCTTGTGCTAGAATGGAGTCAGTAGACAGTAAGTTCGTCATGAAGATGCTCGAAAAGGTTTCCATTGGAAATAAACTCATAAACCAGAAGTGGCACTTCCGTCTCAAGATTTGGAGCTTTATATTGTTTCTTGTTCATATTTGGAATAATAATAGGGATTTTGACATGGAGCTATTGAGCACAAGCATGAGAGAAACCCGGAAGAAGTACGTAGTGGTTCTCACACCTCATACTTTTACAATTTTATTATCTACTCTAAACAAACTTCCGTGAGTGTGCGTATCTTGGGAATATCTTATCTCTGCCACTCATGAAGTTGAAAACATATGTCTTTAAACTGGTCTTGTTCAAATGACTTGAATAAAAAAAAAAAAAGAAACCAGAAACTAAATGAAAGAAAAGGACTATGTAAAATATAAGTAATGGACTAATACTGAATAATGGACTAATAATGGACTAGTACTGGTCTTGTTTCTTTTTAAAGGTAGACGTAGTAGTTGTAGACCTTACTGAATATGCACCAAACATGGAACATAAGAGCATAATACTGGGCAACATTTAGACTTCCCGAGATCAACTTCTTCGTAGTATCCATCCTCTTGAATCACACAAACTATGTTGTTGTCTTCTATGTCTTGGACACAAACCACCACGACTTTCTTCTCTTCATTAATAAAGAAACTCCCGGCATCAACACAACTTAGTCGAGTCGAGATTCTTTCATCAATTACTACGAATAACTTTCTCCACGATACTTCCTTGGGTTTGATCTTTGTTGTAATCCATATCTCCATCTCATATGTATCCTCACGCTTGAGTAGCACTGCAAGCTGCTTTTCTCTAAGAGAGGATAAAATCACAGTATCGTTTTGGAAAAAGAACAGTGAGGCGGCAGAGGCAGACACGGTAAGTATTTCCCTTCACACACATTATGCTATACCAAAGCAACAAAGTAAGTATTTCTATTACGATATCATCGTATATTACGATATGATAGGATCTTAAATTTGCATATATCCTCTTTCCTATTATTGTTATCTTAGAGATTCTCTTGTACATGTATAAATACAAGGTCGATTGACCTGAATGAATGACACAGAAACATTCATATTCTAATTTGTCATGGTATCAGAGCTAAAAGATCCCTAAACCCTAAAATTTCTTCTTCCTCCCATACTCTGTTTTTCTCTCGGAAAACAAAGCCTTCTTCGTTTTCTTCTTAAGCCTCTCGGCGTTCGAACGGTTCTTACTTTTGCTCACGATGGCTCTCGCCACAAGTGATGTTACCTACAAAACGATATCTCCGTACGATCTTACCTCCAATGATAACCCCGGCGCCATGATTTCACAACCGCTGCTCAACGGCATGAATTACGACGAATGGGCTATCAATTTTCGTATGGCGTTAAGCTCTCGTAAGAAATTTGGATTTCTTGATGGGAGTATTCCAAAACCTGATACCGATTCTTCTGATCTTGAAAATTGGATTGCCAATAATCATCTGATTGTTGGTTGGATTAGACAAACAATTGAACTCAAGATTCGCTCCTCTCTTTCTACTCGTGAGGTTGCTAAAGAACTATGGGATATCATCAAAAAGAGATTCTCAATCAAAAGTGGAGCTCGTCTACAACAGCTCCGAAATTCCCTTGCTACCTGCAAACAAAACAGCTCTACGGTGGATGATTACTTTGGTCGATTAACTAAGATTTGGGATGGGATTGCAGAGTGTATGAACACTAAACGTTGCAGCTGTGGTAAGTGTGAATGCGATCTCAATGCAGCACACGAAAAGGAGAAAGAAGTCTTGCGAGTTCATGATTTCCTTTCTGGCTTGGATGACTCGGTCCATGGGGTTATCCGTTCACAGCTGTGTGCGATTACACCTCTGCCTGATCTGGATAGCGTGTACCAAACGATAGTCCAGAACGAAACCATTCGTATGAATGCCATCCAGTCTGAACCTGTTATGAGCTTTACGACTCAAGCTTTGCCTGCAAATGCCTCTCGGCCTTCTTCTACAGTTTGGACTAAAGATATAACTCGTCAAGCCACGGATTCCTCTAACACTGGTAGAATCGGATCTAGCAATCGCGATCCTTCTCGCCAGTGTACAGTGTGTAAACGTATGGACATGAAGCGACTTCATGTTTTAAGGTTATTGGCTATCCTGATTGGTTTCCGCGTGGTCGTGGTGCTCCAGCAACATCTGCGGGTCGTGGTAGTAGCTCTCTTCCGCGTGCTAACATGACTCAGATTGGGAGTGCCAATGCTGCGACAGTAAACTCATCCTCCGCCATTACCGACAGTGATCGCCAGGGCTTGAGTGGTCTTACAGATGAGCAATGAAATACGGTGCAGAAGCTCATCAATCTGGGCAAATCCGATTCTTCCTCCTGTGGTAAGACTAATGATTCTCTATGGATTTTAGATACTGGCGCAACACACCATATGACAGGTCGCATTGACTTGCTTGAGAATATCCGTGCTATCACTCCTCTCTCGGTCCTGTTACCAGCTGGTTCGGATGCGTGTGCAACTAAACAAGGGACAGTTCGACTTACGTCTCGATTGTCCTTGCAGAACGTTTTCTTTGTCGATGGATTTCATACCAACTTGATCTCCTTGGGCCAGCTTGTCACTGACAATTTTTTGGTTGGACAACTGACAGATAAGCTTATGATTTTGCAGGATCGGGTCTCGAGGATGCTGATTGGTGCGGGTGAGCGAGAGGGAGAGGGACTGTACTGGTTTCGAGGCACGGACGCAGTAGTTTCATGTCAGACATCGGTTCGTGATGATTTAGTCCTGTGGCATCAACGTCTTGGTCACCCTTCTTCTCAGATTACTGGAATAGTTTCGGGTGTTAGTTCTTCTAGTAGTTGTTCTGAGTTTTTTAAGAGTTGTGATGTGTGTTTTCGAGCTAAACAAACTCGCCAATGTTTTCCAGACAGTTCCAATAATGCAAACGAAATTTTTGATTTGATACATGCTGACTTATGGGGTCCGTATCGGACGACAGTCTTTTGTGGTTCCCGTTATTTTTTGACAATTGTAGACGATCATTCTCGTGCAGTTTGGTTGTATCTCCTTCCCGATAAATCTGCAGTTCCTCAACAGCTTCGTGACTTCATATCTATGATCGAAAGACAATTCTCCAAGAAGATAAAAACAGTGCGAAGCGATAACGGTACGGAGTGTCTTTGTCTTGCCAGATTTTTTCGAGAAAATGGCATTATTCATGAGACGTCTTGCGTTCATACACCACAACAAAATGGTCGTGTTGAACGTAAACATCGTCATATCCTCAATGTTGCACGAGCTCTTCGATTTCAGGCCAGTCTTCCGATCGAGTATTGGGGTGAATGCATTCTCGCTGCAGCATATTTAATAAATCGTACTCCTTCGTCTTTGCTCGCACACAAGACGCCTTTTGAGAAGCTTTATGGTCTTCTGCCGGCTTACAAACACTTGCGTGTTTTTGGGTGTTTGGCCTATGCTCATAATACGGATCACAAAGGAGATAAGTTTGCTTCACGTAGTCGCAAATGTGTCTTCTTGGGTTATCCCTATGGGAAAAAGGGCTGGAAACTTTATGATATTGAACGAGAGACGTTCTTTGTTTCTCGCGATGTGGTCTTCACCGAAGATGTCTTTCCGTTTGCCACTAAGGCTTCTTTTTCACATCAGGCTTTACCACTAATTACATCTCCGCAGATTGCTGTTGACGAGGATATTCCTATGGTTGTTGTTGCTCCTCCTGATCCCGTTTCTCATACTGCTGAGGACACTCTTCCATCTAACTCCACCGAGCTTTCAGTAGTGGAATCAACTACATCAACCTCTCCAGTTGATGATAGTAGCACAGCTGTTTCGGAGGAACTGTTGGGTCGTGGTCATCGCACCAAGACTCTTCCTGCAAAGTTTCGTGATTTTGTTGTCGACACGATTTCTACTCCTCCCTCTTCTTCTCTCGCCTCAATCTCACCCGATCCACAGCTCCCCTCAGGTTCGTTATATCCTCTTGTTAACTATGTGTCTTGTGATCGTTTCTCACCCAAACATCGCAGTTTTCTGATGGCACTAGCTACGGAGGTCACTCCTCGCTCTTTCCGAGAAGCTATGGAATCCGAAAATTTTCGCAAGGCAGTGGATTCCGAACTTCATTCTCTTGATACTCTTGGTACCTGGAGATTAGATCACTTGCCTCCCGATAAGAAAGCTTTGGGATGCAAATGGGTCTTTACTATTAAATACAAATCTGATGGTACGATTGCCCGATATAAAGCTCGTCTAGTTGTTCTTGGAAATCATCAACAAGAAGGCTTGGATTATGATGAAACTTTCGCACCTGTCGCCAAGATGACAACAGTTCGTGTGTTTTTGGATTTCGCAGCTAAGAACAATCATGAAGTTGTCCAGATGGATGTTCATAATGCATTTCTTCATGGTGATCTCCATGAAGAAGTGTATATGAAACTTCCTCAAGGTTTCCAATCGGCTCCAGGTGAAACGCGGGTCTGTCGTCTTCAGAAATCTCTTTACGGATTAAAACAGGCACCTCGTTGTTGGTTTGCAAAGCTTTCTGATGCTCTTCGTACTTACGGCTTTGTTCAAAATCGGTCCGATTATTCCCTGTTCGTGTACTCCAAAGGCGACGTCTCTCTTCGTATTTTGGTATACGTAGATGACTTGATCATTTCTGGAAATTCATCGGAAGCCATTCAGACATTCAAAGATTATTTGTCTGTTTGCTTTCACATGAAAGATCTCGGCCCTGTGAAATATTTTTTGGGCATAAAGGTGGCTCGCAGCCCTGCTGGTTTTTATCTCTGTCAGCGCAAATATGCGACCGATATAGTTGCAGAAGTTGGCCTCCTCGGGTGCAAACCATCTGGTTCTCCTATCGCTCAGAATCACCAACTTGCTCTTGCTCAGGGTCCTCTTCTGGCTGATCCAGATCGCTACCGTCGTCTTGTGGGGCGTCTCATTTATCTTGGAGCCACTCGTCCCGATTTGACTTATGCCATTCACATTCTCTCTCAGTTTATGCAGGCTCCGCGAGTGGATCATTGGCTTGCTGTTTTAAAATGTGTTCGGTATCTTAAAGGTACACTTGGGCAAGGCATTCTTCTCAAGGCTGATTCTCCGCTCCATGTTACTGGCTGGTGTGACTCGGACTGGGCGGCTTGCCCTTTGACTCGTCGTTCTCTTACTGGCTATATTGTTCAGCTTGGTGATTCGTTGATATCTTGGAAAACTAAGAAGCAGGACACCGTCTCGCGATCATCTACGGAAGCCGAATATCGGGCTATGACAGAGGTTACATCAGAGGTTAAATGGGTTAAGGCTCTTCTCTCGGCATTTGGTGTCACTCACGCTGAGCCAATGACGATCATGTGTGATAGTAAGCCCGCTATACATATCAGTAATAATTCAGTTTTCATGAACGTACGAAACACGTCGAGACTGATTGCCATTTTGTTCGCGATGATATACTTGCTGGACTCATAAAGCCTCAACATGTTTCTACGAAAGAACAACTTGCAGATATTTTGACAAAAGCTTTGGGGAAGAAGGAGTTTGATGTTTTTCTTCTCAAGTTGGGCATTCACGATTTACATGCTCCAACTTGAGGGGGGGTATTACGATATCATCGTATATTACGATATGATAGGATCTTAGATTTGCATATATCCTCTTTCCTATTATTGTTATCTTAGAGATTCTCTTGTACATGTATAAATACAAGGTCGATTGACCTGAATGAATGACACAGAAACATTCATATTCTAATTTGTCAATTTCCCTTCACACACACAACCTGTTGATAATGATATATATCCCAATAGGAAGTGATCTCAAGAATCCTCCATGAATCAGACTTAAAATCGTAGATTTCTTATGCAAATTCGTTGTAAGCATACACAAGGGCCAATATTTTGTGGTTTTTGTTGATGTCGTATCCAAGAAAATACTTATCATATTTGTGGTAATCGCTTATTCTCTTGGTGGTTCTTCTATGGATCTTCCTGACTTGTCCTAAATACGGATTCCATACTACAAGCTCCAAACTTATATCATTGCATGGGTCGCATAATAATAAGCCCTCACAGTGATTGACCGTATCTATCTTGACTTGACTAAGTAAATTACCTATCTTCTTTATAGATTGATCAACCAAGTCTTCATGCTTACTGATTCCGTGGAGATCGATGCTCATCAAATAAACCCTAAAATCATAAAGCATGATAACCAGAAACCTTTGACAACTTTACCACAGTGCTTCATTTTAAAGCTTTGATATTTGGATAAACTGTTCCATCTTTTGCAAGTAGATCTCACCGTTCTTAGAGATGTTATCGGAACATTAGAGAGTATCTCCTCTACCAAATCCAGCGAAAGATCAGACATCATCGTCATTGTTAGCAAATAATAAATTATGGTTTTTAATTTTGCCATGCACTCTTTTTATATAGACAAATAAATTAGGTTTACCATTATGTGTCAAACCGCTACTAATTTTTCATTTGCAAAGAAACAAAAATTCGTTGGTTATAAATTAGTTAAACGGAAATTCTGTATCTGAGAGTCTGAGACCATTAAGAAGCGTTTTAACTAAGAGGCGTTTCAACCACTAATCACACAGTCACTTGGATTACGAGCAATTCTTATATTCTTCCGGAAAAAATTAAGCAAAGTAAAAGTAAGGATTTCTGGTTTTTCTTAAATCAAAAATTACAACAAAAAAAAGAAGTATGATGGAAACTCTATGCATATACAAACTTGTGTGTTGGTATTTGTTGGTGTTGGATTTAGCCAAATCTGGCCCACGTTTTAAACAGATCATCACACAAACGTCTATGGGCTTTAAGGCCCGCAAACTTAACCAAAAGAAGATCTCGCAAGGATATTCGGTAGGACGCAGCAAGCTACGAAGATAAGGAAGAGTGGATAAGAGAAGATCCCGAAGATCTCGGAAAGGAGGAGATCGAGGCATCCTGGAAATCTCGTAGTAGTTCGCAACGACATACCTAGTATAAATAGTACATTGTTTCCATGTAAAAGATCATCTAATTTTGAGCTAAAAACTCCTTTGTAAACTCATTATTTTATCAATACAATCCAATTCGTCGAGCTTTGTCTTTTACTTTACATCAGTCTCTGCCAGAATTCTTGCCCATCATCTTCTTCACTAAACCAAACACTAAATCTCTGAGTGTGGATTTTAGGATCCACATTTTGGCGCCGTCTGTAGGGACGAAACAAAGAAATTCTTACACCTGAGACAGATCTCAAAGACAAGTAAGAACGAAATGGATCCAAAAAATACTGAAACATCTAGTCCAAAGACAAGCTCTGGCCCCGCGCTAAACCTCAGCACATCGGCTCTCCGACTTGGAGATGTCGAAATCATTGGAGCGCAAAGCTCACCTCGCCAAAAGCAAACAGGTGAATCGAGCGTCGTAAATCCGACACCCAGCTCGACTCACACTGCTACCACAAGCGTGACACGACCTGGCGGAACAACCGCGGTGTCTCCCTCGGATCCCAGACCGCCAATACACACGTACTCGCGGACCTGGACAAGATCTGGAACCTCCCAGGCCGGATCCACCAGCTCGGACCTAACCGAACCAGCCCGGACTGGATCGTCCCAAACGATAACCGGAGACGACCTGGCAGAATTTCGGAGAATGTTAGCCTTCTTAGCCGAACAAGCCCGCGAACAACGGGCTATCCTCGCGCAAAACGAGAGGGGAATAGCCAACATCCGAAAGGTGCGGGCACAGCCAACTCCAACCGACGATGAGGACCCAGATGATCTATCTGAAGAGGAAGATCTGAATCCGACGCCAAGTCCACTCCCAACAACTCGCTTGGAGTTCGAACACCTCGCACGTGGCGATCCGACCACACAGTTCGTCACTCCACCACGGAGCAACAACGCTCCTTTGTTCAGCGATGTGACCAACCACCTGCCTGTGTTCGGATCCGGACAAGCGGAGCGCAAAACCCCGGCAGCCGACGATCGCCACGACCTGCTATTAACACCGCCACTCTTCCGTGGATCACACGGTCTTAGTACGAACCATGCTAACCCGCCTACAGACAGGCGATCCAACGAAGAACGAGCTGCTGACGACACTTTCCAAACCGAAAGTCAGCAACAAGGGAACGCGCGGAGGATCCTCCAAAGATCATAGACCGGCGATCTATAAACAACTTCGACGCGCTCCAGCGATACATTGAAGCAAACAATGCCGAGCTAAAACGCATGTACGCCGCAGTACATAAAGCAACAAGCGTGGCTCCAGACATAGATCGCGTGTTGGACGAAACCAGAAGGACTCCCTTCACTGATCGCATAGCTAACGCCAAGATCAAAGACACCGGGAAAATGCGATTCCCAGAATATAATGGAACGGCAGATCCCTTAGCTCACCTCCGAGCTTTTAGGCTCTCCGTAGCCCGAGCTCATCTCAATGATGAAGAAAAAGAAGCAGGCTACTGCCGTCTCTTCGCCGAAAACTTAGTCGGATCCGCCCTAGAATGGTTCACCGGACTAGAGGAAGGGTCCATAGACAACTTCCAAGAGCTCGGCTCAGCCTTCCTCAAACACTACTCAGTGTTTATAACCTCCAAGGCCACAGAGGCCGACCTCTGGACATGCAGACAGAACCACCAAGAGCCCCTGCGGGCTTACTTGGCCAGGTTTAAAGAAATTAAGTCCAGGATAGCCGATTTGAACGAGGGAGTAGCACTCTCTGCGCTCAAACAGGGACTATGCTTCAACTCACCCTTCAGACAAGAACTATCGGTTCGTTGTCCAGAAACAATAGACGACGCGCTCCATAGAGCCGCAAGCTTTGCCCAGTACGAGGAGGAACAAAACATCCTCCGAAAACAGTACGAGGCAGGCTTATTAGTACCTAGCCCCGCCACAACCAAAAAGGCAGCCAAAAAGGAGCCTGGTGGTAAAGGGATACACGCCTTCACAGTCGGCAGCTCGTCAAAAAAAGAGTCGAAAAAAGAGAAAAAGTCAACCTATGATGCGAACAAATTCTGCACTCATCACAATAAGAAGGGGCATTCTACAGAAGAATGCCACACAGTCTTAGCCGAAAAGGCTAAACTCGCCGCGAAGACCGCAGAACAAGAAGGGGAGCCCGCAGGGAAAAACGAGGAGCCGGAAAACTCAAAAACTTCAAGTAAGAAAAGAGATCGAGCTCCCACGGATGAAAATCCAAGCTCTCCACCTCCGGGCCCTAAAAAGAGAATAGATCTCATATTCAGGGGAATAACTCGGTGCGGAGGGTCCATGAAGTCGGTGATCTCACCTCCACCCACTCCCAAAAAGGATGCCAAACCGCAAACTAACAACCAGCTTGTGGAAGCTCGCAAGTCCGCAAAACCAGAACTTTCCAAATTTCAGGGAATCCTGGAACTCTTCGAGCGACCTAAGCCTAAACGAATAAATTTCATATCGGGAGGCTCCAAACACTGTCGAAATTCAGTAAATTCGATAAAAGCCTACCAAAGAAGGGTCGAGACCGATATGCGGGAGCGCGCTCCCCTACAAGGTCCCAACCACAAAGTAGTTTTCTTGGAAAGTGAAACACTCGATCTAGACAAACCACACGACGACGCTCTAGTAGTTCGTCTAGACGTAGGGGGGTCTGAGCTATCCAGGATTATGATCGATACTGGGAGCTCGGTCGACGTGTTATTTTATAACGCGTACAAACAAATGGGTTTCGGTGACGACATACTCTGCGGCACCAGATCGCCGCTAACTGGCTTCGCAGGTGAAACCACCTATTCGATGGGCACTATCATGCTCCCGGTAGTATCCGGCGGAGTCCTACAACTAACAGTATTCGAGGTTGTAGACCGCTCCGCTCCTTACAATGCCATACTGGGGAGGCCATGGCTCTATAATATGAGAGCAGTACCCTCCACATATCATCAATGCGTGAAGTTCCCAACCGCCGAGGGAGTCAAGACAGTCCGCGGAAGCCAACGGGCTTCCAGAAGTTGCTACATGACAGGACACAAGCAGATCGAACAGTCCCCTTTGTAGCAACTACAGAATTAAGAAGAGCTCGCCAAGCAGCGAGCAAAACGGGGAAACGACCCCACAACTTGCGGTCCACGCAAGGACCTCGTCGTCCCAGTCTGCATTGACGAAAAACACCCCGACCGAGAAGTCAACATCGGATCGGAACTCTCGAGTTCTGTCCGCGACGAGCTCGTAAAATTTCTTAAGAAGAATATTGCAACCTTCGCATGGTCCACAGAGGACATGCCTGGGATTGACCTGCAAATAACTTCCCACGAACTGAACGTCAACCCGACCTTCAAACCCGTCAAACAAAAACGCCGCAAGCTCGGCCCAGACCGAGCCAAAGCAGTAAACGACGAGGTGAACCGGCTAATAAAAGTCGGCTCAATAAGGGAAGTTAAGTACCCAGATTGGCTAGCCAATCCAGTCGTGGTTAAAAAGAAAAACGGAAAATGGAGAGTCTGTGTAGACTTCACCGACCTAAACAAAGCATGTCCGAAGGACAGCTTCCCACTCCCTCACATAGATCGATTGGTAGAAGCTACAGCAGGACACGAACTGTTGACCTTCATGGATGCTTTCTCAGGGTACAACCAAATACTCATGAACCCTGAAGATCAGGAAAAGACTGCGTTTATAACAGAGACCGTGGCACATATTGCTACAAAGTAATGCCATTCGGCCTAAAGAATGCGGGAGCTACTTACCAGCGCCTAGTCAATAAAATGTTTGCTAAACAGCTTGGTAAGACCATGGAAGTCTATATCGACGACATGCTCGTTAAATCTTCGAAAGAAGAAGACCATGTTGCACAGCTCAAAGAGTGCTTCGCAATACTAAATCAGTACCGAATGAAACTCAATCCGACCAAATGCTCGTTCGGAGTACCATCTGGAGAATTCCTAGGTTACATCGTACCCGAAAGAGGAATAGAAGCAAATCCTAAATAGATAGCAACCTTCCTCGAAATGCCATCCCCCAAAACCACGAGGGAGGTCCAAAGGTTAACAGGGCGAATAACAGCCCTTAACCGTTTTATTTCGAGGTCAACTGACAAATGTTTACCCTTTTACCAACTACTAAAAGGGAACAAAAAGTTCCAATGGAACGATGAGTGCGAAACAGCGTTCAAACAACTCAAGGCATACTTGAGTGAACCGCCCATACTAGCCAAGCCGGTCGAAGGAGAGCCTTTGTATCTCTACGTAGAGGTATCTCCAGCCGCAGTAAGCGGCGTGCTCGTTCGAGAAGAACAGAACGAGCAGAAACCCATCTACTATGTAAGCAAAACGCTAGTAGACGCCGAAACAAGGTACCCTGCCATGGAAAAACTGGCTCTAGCGGTCGTATTGTCCGCCAGAAAGTTACGACCATATTTTCAGTCACATTCCATAGTAGTGATGACCTCCCAACCCCTTCGCACTATATTGCACAGTCCGAGCTAATCCGGACGGCTTGCGAAGTGGGCTATCGAGCTAAGCGAATATGATATAGATTACAAAATCCGGACCTGCGCGAAAGCCCAAGTCTTAGCGGACTTCGTCATCGAGCTTACAACAGATCCCGACGATGCATCACCGTCTAGCCAGAAGTGGACACTCCACGTAGACGGAGCGTCATCAAAACAAGGATCAAGAGTTGGAATCAAACTGGTTTCCCCAAAAAATGAAGTCCTCGAACAGTCTTTCAGACTAGGGTTCCAGGCCTCCAACAATGAGGCCGAGTACGAAGCCCTCATAGCCGGTCTCAGGCTAGCCCTCGGGATTGGAGTTCGAGAAATAAGCGCATTCAGCGACTCTTAGCTCGTAACCAGCCAATTTCATGGCGACTACGTAGCAAAAGACGAACGGATGGAAGCATACTTAAACATCGTACGCCAAATAGCAAATCAGTTTAGCTCGTTCGAGCTGACCAGAATTCCTCGGGGGGAAAATACCTCCGCCGACGCCTTGGCAGCCCTAGCATCCACCTCTGACCCAATGGTCAAGAGGGTGATTCCCGTAGAAGGAATCGAAAAACCAAGCATCGACCTAGCTCCCAAGGTAGTCAACGTAGTAATCACCTCAGATGAGGTCGGGCCATCCAATAGACCGGGGCCAGGAGCCACGACTAACCAGCCCGACAACTCGATCAGTGCACCGCCCGATCCCGAGAACCAGTCTGTTCATCCAGAGCCCGAGCCTGAACTGGATGACTGCGAAGAGTTCTTAGACAGACCGGACTGGAGAACTCCTATCATGGAGTATATTCAGAACGGTATAGCTCCCACCGACAGATGGGCATCAAGAAAATTAAAAGCCCAAAGTGCTCGATACTGCATAATGGAAGGTAAACTATACAAGCGTAACCTGATAGAACCTTACCTCTTATGCGTGCACGGTATCGAGGCCCTAACAATTATGGCTGAAATGCACGAAGGAATGTGCGGAAGCCATTCCGGAGGACGAGCTATGGCAGTCCGCATCAAAAGACAAGGCTATTTTTGGCCCACTATCATTGCAGACTGCGAAAACTATGCCACAAAGTGCGACAAGTGTCAAAGGCACGCACCAATGATCCATCAACCGGCTGAAAAGCTATCTTCGATATCCGTACCCTACCCATTCATGAGATGGTCAATGGACGTAGTAGGACCACTGGTGGTCTCTAGACGTGCTAGAGTCCGTTTCCTGCTCGTCCTAACTGACTACTTCACTAAATGGATAGAGGCTCGAGCTTACCAGCAAATCACCGGATCAGAAGTCGAAAATTTCGTCTGGAAAAACATTGTCTGCAGACACGACCTCCCTTATGAGATCGTAACGGACAACGGGATGAACCTGACTTCAAGAAAATTCACAAGGTTCTGTAACACTTGGAAAATCAAGCTCACATCTTCCACGCCCCGATACCCACAAGGTAACGGACAGGCGGAAGCTGCCAACAAAACGGTCCTAAGTAATTTTAAAAAGAGGCTGGATTCAAAGAAATCTCGGTGGAGCGACGAGCTACCCGGGGTACTTTGGGCGTGTAGGACTACGCCCCATCGAGCTATGGGAGAAACACCTTTCTCTCTAGCCTATGGCATGGAAGCTGTTGTCCCGGCCGAAGCATCGGTACCGAGCATCCGTCGGACCTTTTGTCCGGATAACGAAGAACTCAATGAAGAAATGCTAAGAGATCGGCTAGATATGATCGAAGAACAACGAGATCGAGCCCTAGTCCGCATCCAGAATTACCAGCAGGCCGCAGCTTGCTATTACAATTCCGGAGTAAACACCGGAGCTTCAGTATTGGCGACCTCGTGCTACGCAAGGTATTCGACAACACTAAGAAGCGAGGCGCCGGCAAGCTAGGCACAAACTGGGAAGGCCCGTACAGAGTCACCGAAGTAGTGCGCAGCGGCGTATACAAGCTCGCAAACAAAATTCAAAAGCAAGCATAAAATAGCCCCCTCCAGGCAAAACAACCAAATGCGGATTAAAACCCTCCTGGGCAATAAGAGTACTGAAAGTGCGAGGAAACAAAAGAGAAAAGCCTTACAGGCAGCTAAGTTCATAAAAAAGAAATAAAGGAGGGGCTAAGGAAAAAGGAGGATCACTCCTTAGGCTCATTCTCGCCGCCCTCATTCTCCATTGGGATCGCTGAGTCATCCGCCAACTCATCTCCACCTCCAACAGCAGCATTACTTCCAAACTGGTCGAGTCCAAGCGGAACCTGCGACACCGGATCAACCTCCATCGGCCTCACGGACACCTCCGAAATTTGCGGAAGATCGAGCTTCGCAAGAGAGAAGTCGGACACCTCCGCGTCAGCATGCTTCTGAGTGAGCTCGGGAATTTTCTCCTCGAGGCGAGCTTTCTCGTCTGGAGCATTGAGAGCTCAGCTGATTAGGTCCTTAATGAGATCCAAGTTGGATTCGACCTCCTGGAGCTCCGCCTCACATGCAGCTTCGACCTTTTTCTTCTCCCACTTATCCTTGAGAGAATGGAAGATCGCCAGATCTTTCTCGGCAAATTCCCGCTTCGCTTCCCTAACAGCCGCCTGACCTTTGCATCAACCTCTCCCTTGAGACCACAAACTTGTTCGGTCAGATCATCAGCACGCCGGCTTGCAGAGTCCGCCACCGTCTTCGCAGACCGAAGCTGGGTCTCCAGACGCTTTTCTTTCTCTTCCGCATTCTTGACCTTCGAAAAGAGGTCGAACACAGTCTTTTTCATCTCCTCGAGCTCGTCGGAGGTAGGCATGGCCAAAGATTTGTCTTCGAGTATGGCAGAATACTCGTTGACAGCCTCGAGAGCCTGATCATAAGAGAGCCTGTTAGCACGAGCACACGCCAAGAATAAAAAAAAACAAATAAACACGTACCCGGCCGTGAGCTGCCATCATCTTCACATAGGCGGCATGTTCCGCCATATCCCGAACCGGGGGCAGCACGCAATCCGGAGGCTTGAAGTACCGGAAAATGAAGGCTACCCCCTCCGGATCGTCAGCGATCGGGCACCCTTTGGTATGGTTGAATGTCCAACCATACGGGATCGATCCACCTGACCCGTTTGAGGAGTTCGACCTCCTGTCCGGAGCTGGGTCCTCCACCCTTGGCTTCTTGGGACGTGAAGTCCTCTCAGAATCTCGCGAACTAAGCGAGATAGCCCTCGATGTGGGGTCGGCGGGAAGACCGGTGGCCGGAGTCTCGTAAGCCCCAGAGGCTTGCTCAAGTGCGTCGCTCACAGCGCGACGAATCTCACCAGTGCGAACAGCTCCCGAGCTCCCAGCTTGAGCCCGGTTCTTCCTTGCCTTTTCGGCCTCGCGAGCTGATGGCCTCCTTGTCATTTTTCCTTTGGATGCTCTGCGGATCAAGGAATGGTGCGAAGTGCTTGAAGAGGTTGCGTCCGGAACTTCCCGACAGCTAGTACCTGAAAACAAAAACGATGGATTATCTAATAGTCTGACAGATCGAAAGTATAGCTCAAGGAATATGAAACGGTTGGACTAACCAATCGGGATCTGGTGAAAGTTGGCCAGACGATTAATGGACGGCAGGTTCAACGGATCAATTTCAGGCTCCGGAGTAACGGCAGGCTGCGGATTATCAGTTTCGAGAGCGCGACGGATCCTCTCCCTTGTGAAGTTGGGCCACGAGCAATCACCGTCCTTCAAAGCAGCGATCAATGGTTTGTCTAGGCCGGTGTTCGTCGGAACAACTGCGGAACAAGGAAAAGCAAATAATCAGCAACGAGCTTACTAACCTAACGAAAAAATCGATTAAGCATCCTAATGCTAACCAACTCTCGGAGCCCAAACTGTGGGCAGCCGATCAAAATCGAAAGATCCGACGGAGTGTGCGTTAACCCGGAAGAAGAAGTATTTCTCCTTCCAACGATCATCGCGAGCCGGGATATCTTCGAAAACACTTCGAGTCTTTCGAGGAGATAGGTAAAAAGACCCCGGAAAAGAAGAATTGCTCTTGATAGAGCACATCCTGTGGAGTTGCTCGACTCCGAAGGGGATTCTTGCCTCGGCTGCCCTAACCAGTAACGCCAAAGCATGACGGACGAAGTTAGGGTTCATTTGGGGAAACGCCAGCCCCAAATCTGCCAAGATTGTGAGAAGACTCGGAGGGATGGGGAAAGAAAGCCCGCATGCGTAAAAAACGGAGTGTAGGCGATGCTGTAGCCGGCCCGAACCGTCTTCGGTGTCTCTCCTCTATCCGGGACGACGAGCTCGATTGAAGAAGGAATGTCGTGGATCCGTCGGAAACGATTTAGGTCGTTGGGCGAGACGATCAAAATGGTCAGAATATCTGGATGCTCCATTGCTGAATTTCGGTGAAAGGGAGTTTTCTCAGAAGTTTTGAAACGAAGTCGAAAACGATATTTCTAGAAATAAAGAAAAGAGCTTAAAACAACTAGAGCAGTTAATGAAAAAAGAAGGAGAGAAGTTACCTTGAAGCAGAGTGGGAAGCGTGCAGTTATGGTGAGAGGACGTGGGAAGTTGATCTTTATAAAGTAGCACTTATGATCGCTATCGAGATTGACGAAATTCTCGCGAGAATCGGATCCTGACCGTTCATCTTAATCTGCGAGCAAGATTTCATTATATCTCATCATGATTTCGTTATATCAGTAAGATTCGAGTACATCGAATCAAAGAAAATCTTAGCCTGGGCGGCTAAAAAGATCTCGACCCTCTATTTACGGAAAACTCGATCTGGGCCGTACAGATGAAATCATGAAGAAGAGGGAAAGCCGAAGCTTTCCAATAATAGTCCGCCCCTTTTAGCTCGCATCTCACTAAATGGGCTGGGGGGCAAATGTTGGTGTTGGATTTAGCCAAATCCGGCCCACGTTATACACAGATCATCGCACAAGCGTCTATGGGCTTTAAGGCCCGCAAACTTAACCAAAAGAAGATCTCGCAAGGATATTCGGTAAGACGCAGCAAGCTACGAAGATAAGGAAGAGTGGATAAGAGAAGATCCCGAAGATCTCGAAGATCTCGGAAAGGAGGAGATCGAGGCATCCCGGAAATCTCGTAGTAGTTCGCAACGACTTACCTAGTATAAATAGTACATTGTTTCCATGTAAAAGATCATCTAATTTTGAGCTAAAAACTCCTTTGTAAACTCATTATTTTATCAATACAATCCAATTCGTCGAGCTTTGTCTTTTACTTTACATCAGTCTCTGCCAGAATTCTTGCCCATCATCTTCTTCATTAAACCAAACACTAAATCTCTGAGTGTGGATTTTAGGATCCACAGCATTAAAACAAAAGATTGACTCTTTTAAAACAGAGATGTGTAACTTTAGCAAAATTATGATCAAGTTTTGTTCCCCGTAGAATCATTGTACGTGCTGGAAGTGAACATCACAACTCGATTGTAGAGATTTATCATCTTAACAACATGTTCAAACCAGGAACTTCAGAATCACTGAGATGATCCTCGTGGCATATCTCTCCATCTCCTTCCAACGCGAGAAAGACTCCATTTACTTCCTCTGAAACCAAAATAGCAACTGACCTGGAGTGTATCAGGAGGCGTTCATGAGATTCCAAACATTCTTCATGGCTGAACATCATCATCGACTCATCGTCATTAACTAGCCCTCGTATTAGCTTAATTTGACCTTCATACGCTATAAGGTTGAGTCGAGAGCAAGTTAAGTTTTGGATATTCCTCGGCAACAAAATCAGAAAACTCAAGTCTCAAGGTAAAGCAGAACTTTGAGTGTCGAAAGTAATGCTCTTTGGCTTTATAAAGTGTTCATAGATAGTTAGCTTTCTTGAGGCTTGCACTTGACACTGTTTCACCATAACCTCTCGGTTCTCCGGTGAAAAATATTCAAATCTTGTAGCCAGCAGAAACATCTGAAAAAATTTCTACCTCAAGTTTCAACAAACCGAGCTCCGATACTACACACATGGCAGCTTCTTTCTTCCTCGTTTTCAATTTCATCGACACTTCTCTCATGCTTGGTCTTTTATCTCGGTATCTGAAACTAGTGTTGTCAGATGGTATTTGATAAGAACACAGAACTTTATTGATAAATAACAGAGAAATAAAGTCATACACCAGAAGTGCCACTTCCGTCTCAAGGCAACATTCCTAGAGCTTGATGATGTTTCTTGTTCATTTTGGAATAGTAATAGAGATTATGATTCGAACTGACGCATATGACATGGAACTATCACCATATCAAGGATCAACACAAGCATGAGAGAAAACTCGGGAGAATTAGTGGTTCTCACACCTCAAACTGTTTATCTCTATATAATACGATACATATTCCAAATTACTGTCCACACGATTTGGAGAGTGCGGAACGATCAGAGATATGGTGAGAAACCATCACCAACACTACGATTGATAAAGATGATCGACAACTCTATCCGAAACCAGCTAAGCAAAGAAGGAGTGGAGACGCAAGATTTGACGAGGGTTTGATAGCCTGGTTTGATACAAGACCAGACTAAGATCGAAAACTCTGTAATAGGGCTCTCATTTTGGCTTATGTTTGATTTCAAGTTGTAAAAAGTCTTTTTTTCTTTAAATATAATTTAACATTAAATTCAAAAAAAAAAGAAAAGAAATGAGAAGGTCTATGCTAAACTGAAGCAGCCAACTTTTTTAAGGCAAATGGGAGTTGAAAATTTCTCTGTCTATCTGTTACATAGTGTAAGAGACTTAGAAGCCGAAAGGAGACAGTATCTGAAAATATTACATGAACAGAAAGCATATCCTGTAGTAGAATATCCCAGAGCAAAAACTATAACGATAAACTAGATTTTACCCCGTGCATTCGCACGGGAAATTTATCAAATTTTATATTGTAATTTATGACTTTTTTAAAATATAATTTTTTTAATAAGTGATAAAGATTCATTTTTTGTTTATATATATAATTTATATTTAAAATTTTCTGTTAGTATTAGTATGACCGCGGACATAAAAACATAGTTATAACCCGATCATTCGAATAATCAAAGAAAGACAGTTATTATAAAAACATAATTCTAATTCATTCATTCTAAATCCGAAAAGAACTGTGGTTATAAAAACATAATTCTTACACATCTGTTCATATTACTATATAATAACATATTTACTAATTTTGAAATATTTTTAACTTAATATATTACATGTTTTGATAACTTAACCCGCATAAGACCACAATTATAAAAAAATCTAACATGTCTCATCAAATTACCGTATAATATAAATATTTATCAATCTTCAATATGTAAATTTTTGATTTACTGATTATGATTAAAAAAATACAATAACATATTTGTTAATCATATGTTTATTATAAAAATATTATTTAAATTTCAAATGTTAAATTAAATCTAAACTATATTTAAAGAAGTTTAAAGTAATTTAACTTATATAAAAAAATCTTCAATTATTTAAATTAATATCTAATTTTCGGAATTACTTTTTTATATAAAAGAAAATGTATTTTTAAAAATAATATCGCAACAAAATAGGATAATTTTAAAACAGTTTTCAAATAATTATTTTTAAATAAAACTTTGGGAGTGTTTGAATACAAGTACTAAAACTGTTTCTATTTTAATATAATAGATTAGGAAATGATGTTGCCAAAAACTGTGTTAAAAGAAAATAATATATTATCTAAACGAAACAACTTTCCAAAAGTGTAAGTATGTTATCTAATCTTGGTAAGATGTTATCTCTGCCACTCATGAAGTTGAAAACTGTTTCTTTCTTTATCAACTGGTCTTGTTCAAATGACATTAAAAAATGATTGAAAAGGAGTGCATAACATAAGTAATTGACTAATAATCAAACTGGTCTTTGTTTCCTTTTGCCTCCTCTGGGTAGATGTAGACGTACTGGTGGACCATACTGGATCTGCACCAAACTTGGAATGTAAGAGCGGGTTCTCATTAGTGAACCCCTCATTAGGGTTCATCAGATTAAAAAAGTATTTTTTTTGTTTAAAGTTTGGAAAGAATTTGAGTGTGATTTGTGGTTCCAGTAGTGAATCCGAGAATGGGGTTCTTCCCGAATTAAAAATTAATATATATATTTTTTAAAAAAATTGTTTTTAATAGAAAATAAAGTGAAACACTTAAGTATTAAAAAAAAAGAAATACAGTTCATTACACAGAATTTTAAAAACATGAAATATAAAAAAAAATTTATTACAAGAAAATTACAAAACATACAATATTTAAAATGTAGAAATACTTAAAACATTTAAGAAGTACCAAATTTATTCCAAAGATTTTCGATTAAATCCGCTTTCAAGCGTTCATGTATCTGGTTGTTACGGACTTCGTTTCGTTTTGCCATCATCAAATTTGAGACATTTGTAGGCATGTTTGTAGAATACATCCTATCGACATGCGAATTTTTGCTTCCTTCTGGTTGATCGAATTCTTGTATATTGTATAGACTGTAGCCATGTCGTTTGTTTTCTACTATCATATTGTGTAATATGATAAAGGCCCGCATATTCTTGCCAATTTTTTCTTTATCCTAAAAAAGAGCTGGATTTTTTTATTATTGCAAATCTAGCTTGTAGAACGCCAAAAGCCCGCTCGACATCTTTTCGGACGGATTCTTGAGTTGTTGCAAATAATTTGTTTTTTTCTCCTTGAGGAAGATGAATTGATTGTATAAATGTTGCCCATTTGGGATAAATACCGTCCATGAGATAATATGACAAACGGTACTCGTTACCGTTTACCCAATATCTCACTTTTGGAGCTCGACCATGCAAGATGTCATCAAAAACTGGCGAAAATCAAGAACGTTAATATCATTTAATGTACCTAGAGGTCCAAAAAATGCGTGTCATATCCAAAGATTGTGTGATGCAACTGCCTCTAAAACGATTGTCGGTTTTCCGGACCCCCGTGTATATTGTCCTCTCCATGCGGTCGGACAATTCTTCCATTTCCAATGCATACAATCGATGCTTCCTATCATCCCGGGAAAGCCCCGATCCTCTCCACTGTTCAGTAAGCGTTGAAGATCATCAGATGTGGGTCTTCTCAGATACTCATCTCCGAACAAGGATATACCCTCGGTGAAATTTTCCAAACATAACAATGCCGTACTAGCACCGAGCCGGAGATACTCGTCAACTGCATCAGCTGCGGTACCATATGCCATCATACGGATTGCCGCAGTACATTTTTGGAGAGGAGATAGACCTAATCTTCCGATGGCATTTCTTCTTTGCTGGAAATACGGAACTTCATTGGAGAGGCGGTCAACTATACGCATGAACAAATCTTTGTTCATTCTAAAATGGCGTCTGAATGTATGTGGCGGGTAAGTAGCATCATCACTAAAATAATCGTTCCATAACCGGATGGCCTTGCTCCCGCTATCTTTCGATATATGCTCTCATTTTTTTTTCTAGCAAGCTGATTAACGATAGACTCGAACTTCGCATCAAACTTTCGATCAAATGCATCATCGAATGCATCATCAAAAGCATCATCTAATGCATCATCATATGCATCATCCAATCGATCATTGCTTGATGATGCTGCCATAATATTTGTATTTAGATGTTTGTGACTAGAGATAAGGAGAGAAAGGGTTTGTGATCAGAAAAGAATTTGACCAAGTATGAGATTTGATAAGTTTTTTTTGTGTTTGGTAAAGAGATTTTGTTTGGTTGGGATGAGAGTTTTGTGGTCACCAAAATGTTGAAGACGTTTTTTTCAAGAGGAAAGATGAGGAAGTTTGAGAACAATATGAGAACAAAATGAAAGTTACATACGTTTGAACACATATAAATACACGGCGCCTTGTTCAAACATGTGGCTAAAATCCTAGTTTGGAACATATGGTCAATATTACATAAGAGAAGATGTGGTTACAAGGGAAAACAACAAAAGCAATTTGGCCCCTCCACCATTACAACATATGGTCACAGACGTTTCAGGGTACTTGTACTGGCCAAGTGGCTGTCACACATCCTGCCAACAAAAAGCAAAGGTCATAAAGCATAATTGGAACAACGAAGCAAAACATATCAAAAGATACCATAACGAAAGCAAAAAACATATCACAGAGTAAATGGAACAAGGAAGCAAATATCATTAGTCAACAAAAGATACTTGAAAGGTACCAATACAAGGTCATACTTACTAAAACAACATCAAACCAAAAAAAAGATAAAAACGAGTAGTCCACATCATACCAACAAGTAAATTATGAACTAAAGACCATACATAGCACTAATTAACTTGTTTTTTAGTGCAATCTCAATCTCAGTTAAAGCTTCAGTCTTAGCTAAAAGACTCTCAAGAATCCTCTTGTCCCTAATCTTATCTTTCATTTCTAGATTTCTTTGTTTCATGTCCCACATTGATGAAAACTCCTTCATATCCTTGGTCTCAGCTTTTACACCGCCTGCTTTCTTCGCATTAGCCTTCGAAGCCTTGACACCAGGTGGACGAGCCTCAAACTGGTCTTCGTTGACACTCCCAGCCATTGACGTGGAGGACTGGTCCAAGTCGTCCACTCTTCTTTTTTTTGCTGATGCACCATCTTTTACTGAGCTGGTCGTGCACCATTTCTGATCGAACCGCAGCTCTCTCCAGGCGTGTTCGAGTGCAAACTTGATGTCGTAGTCATTGAAGAAAATATCGTGCGCAAGCTTCATCACATCGTTTTCATTCTGACCACTAGTTTTTCCCTTCTGTGCAGCTGAGTAGGAACCCGCAAACTTACAAGTCTGCTCATTTATCCTTCCCCATCGTTGCTTACACTGCGACCATTCTCTTCTAGGCAGTCCACCCAGATCCGGGCATGCGTTGTAATGAAGCTGGATCCGCTTCTAGAACGCACCAGCCTTTTGTTCATTGCCCACTACTGGATCCTTGCTGGTGTTGAGCCACGCACTAATCAAGACCAAGTCTTCTTTCGGACTCCATAATTTTCTCTTCATTGCAATGTCAGACGGATCATCAGATCCTTGTGTGCTGAACAAGGGAACGTCTGATGATCCTAAATCTATGCACGGCGAGTAAATATCAGAGCTTAACTGACTACCTAAGAGATTAACAAACCCTTCCCCAGGCGTGAATGAGTTCTGCGAGTCCATGTCAATGAAAGAAAGTATGAAGGACTTAACAAGCGGAAGAAAGGAATGAAAGACCGAGTAAAAGAAACACAAAGAGAGTGAAAGAACGATTGAAATGATTCAAAGAAGATTGAAACAAAAACTGAAGAGAGTGAATGAAAAACGAGAGTTAAAGGATTCAAAGTGAGAGAGTGAAAGAGTGAATGAAAGAAGTGAAAGAGTGACCGAGTAGAAGAAAGAGTTTGAGAGAGTGAGAGGTATTTTTTAAGAGAGAGTTAAATAGATTTATGGTTGTGTGTCTTTTATGTGTCTTTATGATAGTAGTTATGTGTCTTTTAATTGTTGGTTGAGTGTCTTTTAAATTGTGGTTGAGAGTGTTTAAGAGAGTTTAAAGTTTTCGAAGAAGTTTTCAATTTTCATACAAGTTGTATATTATTACGTAAACCTAACATGTCCAATCATGCATTAAAAACAACTAAACCCTAAATAGACAACCTAATCTAGTTCCAATTAGTATACTTCTCACAACCCATATAGTTTCAGGACAACTAACCTTTACTCCGTGATCCATATGCCATCGGTGAACCGAATGCCATGAAGTCCAACCCTTGTACCCGTAGAGTCCAAATAAGCCTCACCAAAAAAGATTAAAAAAGAACATTAATACAACTACAATACTTTAGCCGAAGTTAAAGCTTTATCTTACACTACTTACTAATAAATGCGAGCCATATCTACACCTTAAAGATGTATGCGATGGCTGCAATAACACAAATAAAAAACAACATAGAGAAACTGTCACCTTGAGTGAAATGCTCCTTCAAAACCCTGATTTCTCCCTGAAGCCTTGCTAGCTCCTCACCGACTTCTCCCTGAACCCTTGCCATCTCCGTGCAGAGTTCTCCTATGGCTGGATCGACGGAGTTGACTCTACCACGATCAAGACTGAGGATGAGATCCTGCTGCTTTTCTATCTTTCTCTCGAGGATTTCGAATTCTTCTGTTACCGCATGATCCCACCTTTGGTGGATGTGCTCATAAGTAAACTACATGAATTACAAACTGTTAGTAAGAATATCGTAAAGATTGAACCCAAATAAATACACAGCTGACGTAGACAGAAAACATACCTGGTTAACATATTCCGGGCAAGTAATAATACATGCGCCCGTCCGTGTAAGTATTGAGCTTCACTTCCCGGCCACAGAAGCACTTCTTGGGTATGCCTTAAGTACCATCCGTGTAAGCCCAGTACGGGACCTGTGGGCCTTCCTCAGATGAGTCGCTGCTGTAGCTTGGCATTCTGTACACGAAATAATATGTCATTCGTAAACAAACATACATGTAAACAGCTAAACTTAAACAGCAAACAATACATACAGGTAAGTACTAAACCCTAACATACATGATCATACAAACGATACTATAAAAACGATACAAGACCATATATATCAAACACATAAACAGTTCATCATCATCGAGCATGTATTTATCACTACCGAGCATGTAAACGCAAAAATCCAAACAGTTAATCATCGATAATGCCAATCTTAATTGCACAAATAGAATATGATCATATCATATATTCATATATATCAAAAACCAAATGATTCACATTATGAAATCACACGATCAAAAAAACACACAATCCTATCCACAAATGGCTATTATAATACACAGGCATGTTGAGCAGGATTTAATTGAATCCCAATTTTAATGCCAACAAAAAGCCCCAAATAAACCCCCAATTTCAAAAACCCTAATTTCATCGGGATAAAATTCAGCTCATGAATCTTAAAATCCATGAAAACGTTTTCGAAATAGGTGTATCACGGTTGTATATCAATAAATTAAACCCCAATTGCAACCCCAAAACAAAGCTCCAAATTTTTCCCCCAAATAAAAAAAAAACCATAATTTCATCGATTCAAATTACAGTTCAAATCTCCCAAATACGTTACGCATAAGCGCTTTGGGGTATCAAACACGACAGACGAACCTCTAATCGATCCTAATTTCACCAAAAAACTCCGCAAATTTCACTCGATTTTTTAACCAAAAAAATCGCCAACCCTAAATTCCCAAAATCGAAAACAAGAAGTACACTAACACAGCACAGATGCTAACCTGGATGACGGAGATGGAAGGGCGATGATCGGAATACAGAAAAACCGGCCAAAATGACAGACGCGACGGTTTACGCGGATTCAGAGAGAATCGCCGGAGAAGCCGAAGAGAGAAGAAAAAAGACTCGGGGAAAGAAAATGATTTTTTTCAACCCCAAATTTTTTTTGCCCGCAAAATTTCCTTTTTCCTTGGCCAATCTGCTTACGCCACGTGGCTCGGATCCGGGGTCGTCGGACTCATCGGGATGAACCGATCCTTCAGCTTTGGGCCTTTTTTCTTTATTTTTAAACCCAAAAAACATCAAAACCTGTGCCCAAAACTTTGGACGAGCCCCCAATGGACCTGCTCTAAGAGCACATAATTGGCCGATATTTAGACTCCCCGAGATCAACTTTTTTTGTAGTATCCATCCTCTCCAATCATGTGACCTATATTGTTGTTTCTATTTTCTTTGTCTCTGACACAAACCACCGACTTTCTTATTTTCATCAATAAAGAAACTCCCGTCTTCAATATAACCTAAATGAGACCAGATTCTTTCATCATTTACAACGAAGAACTTACTCCATGACACTGCATTGGGTTCAATCATAGTTGTAATCCATATCTCAATCTCATATGTATCCTCACGCTTAAGTAGCACTGTGAGCTGATTCTCTCTACAAGAGGGTAGAATCACAGAATCATGGCAAACTAAAGAGTGAAATGGCAGATGCAGACGCGGTCCAAATCTCTCTCTTGTGAAATCAAAACAGAGTAGAAAATAATCTTCCACTACCAGTCTTCCATGAGCATTAAAGTAAGTATTTCTCTTCAAAGACACACCCTGTTGATAATAATACATCATCCAATTAGGATTGATCACAAGAACCCTCCATGAATTAGACTTAAAATTGTAGATTTCAAACTCAAAAGCTCTGTACCCACCCAAAAGCCTCAAAATTTTTTGGTTTTTGTTAATGTCGTCGTATCCAATAAAATAGTTATCAAATTTGTGGTAATTGCTTCTTCCTTGGATCCACCTGGCTTGCTCTAAATATGGGTTCCATACTACAAGCCTCAAATTTTTGGTGATGCATAACAAGAAGCCCTCACAATGAAAGACCTTATATACCTCGACTTTGAGTAAATTACCTATCTTCTTTATAGATGAATTACGAAGTCATTGTGCTTACTGATTCCATGGAGATTGATGCTCATCAAACAAACCCTAAAATCATTAATCATGATAGCCAGAAACGCTTTGGCAAGTTTGCCACAGTGCTTCTTTTTTAAAGCTTTGATCTCTGGATAACTCGTTCCATCTTTTGCAAGTAGATCTCACTGTTCTCAGAGATATTTTCTGAACCTTAGAGAGTATCTCTATTATAGATTAACCAGTCAATCTCTTGTAAACCGAATATAACCGGGTAGTTGTTCATATACCCATGTCTATATGTAACGACTCGAGACAGATTGAATGAATAACAGAAAATGTTTTCCTCATTTTGCTTTCGTCTTCTTCCTCTCGATCTCTGTTGATTCAAGTTCACTAACATGGTATCAGAGCCATTGAGGCACAAAACCTCAATCGATCTATCTTCTTTCTCTCTTTCGTTGACCTCGATTCTTCGTTGATTCTCGCGAACAATTTTTTGTTTCTTCAAGGCGATAGATTCCACGGCTATTCCACTGTGAATCACCAAATATCATCATAAAAAACCTTCGATTCAGCTCAAAATCATCCACTGGTTGTCATACGAAGATCAACACGTCGTGGTGCTCGAGTCACAGCATCGGCCCGAAGAAATTCTAATCCTGAAGCTTCGCCGCCTGATTCTCCGATTTCAGCTCAAACTTCTCCGACTTCACCGACAGAATCGATCGATAGTATCCATTCCCCATTCTATCTGAGGAACGGTGATAATCCGGGTATTTCTTTGATTTCTGAAGTTCTTGATGGCACAAACTATGATAATTAGAGTATTGCGATAGCTACAGCCTTAGATGATAAGAATAAAACAGCGTTTATCGATGGATCTATTGCTCGTCCTAGTGAAACTCATCGGAACTTTAGGATCTGGTCTAGATGCAATTCAATGGTGAAATCCTGGTTGTTGAATTCTGTTTCGAAGCAAATCTACAAAAGCATCCTTCGTTTCAAAGATGCCTCAGAGATCTGGAAAGATTTATCAACGAGGTATCACATCACAAATATACCTCGATCTTACCAGTTATCTCAACAGATTTGGGCACTTCAACAAGGATCCTTGGATCTTGCTTCATACTACACTACTCTAAAGACTCTCTGGGATGAACTTGATGGTGCAAATTGTGTTGATATGTGTAACAATTGCAAATGCTGCAAAGCCATCACCACGAAGGCTGAGCACACAAAAGTCATCAAGTTCTTAGCTGGATTAAATGAGTCTTACGCTACTATTCGCAGCCAGATCATCATGAAGAAACACATTCCAGAGCTCTCGGAAATCTACAACTTGTTGGATCAGGACCATAATCAGAGAAACTTCTCTTCGGTGCAAAATGCAGCCTCATTCGTTGTCTCTGCCCCTGATTCTTCACAAATTTCCATCAATGCAGCTCAAGCTTCTTCAAACAACCAAAAGCAGAACCGTCCTATATGCTCACACTTTGGTTACAATGGGCACACTGTGGACAAATGCTACAAGATACATGGCTATCCTCCGGGTTTTAAACATAAGCAAAAACAATCCACAAACAAGCCTCTTGAATCTACAACTCCGGTAGTTTCTCAAATTGCTGTCAATGACCCTGCTCAGGCTTCTATCAACATGATCAAGACTTTGTCAAAGGACCAAATACAGGAAGTCATTGCATATTACAATGCTCAAGCTTCAACCGACCATACTGATTCGGCTCTTCCTGGTATGGCT